AGTTTTGGCCTCATCATCCAGCCCTCATATTTATCTTCATCCAATCGTCGTCCAGTGAAGCAAACCTTCCAGAATTACCTGAATTCACACACTGGTCACAACGTTCTAGATCAATATCTGTAGAGCTTCTTTTCCAGATCAATGGTAATGTAGATCCATATCATAACTTCATTAGATTAATACAAGGATTACAACATCCATTTCCACCCTTCTTTAAAAACAATCTGAAGTTGTGGAAAGAATCATTCGGATTAGACCTCAGTTCTTAAAGTGGCATTCCTTTATTCAGGTAAGGAAAACAAACAAACCCAGTACTGAGGCTTTAAAGTTGAAGGTGACATCATTGACACGATGATAGAGAATATTTGTGAAACAGATTGTATAATAAGTCATCATTAGCTATGTTTACATACACAAAATAAGAATCAATCAGATTGAAAGTTGTCCAGATTAAAACAGCCCAAATAATCTGATTGTACGGCTTTGTGATTTGTATAAAGTGCTGTAATTTGATAAATCCAGCACTTTCTGGCAGCTGTGGTTGTTTTAAGGGGCTTTATAAATAAAGTTGAGTTGAATATTATGAAATCGTCTAGACACTTAAAGTTGAAACATGTTTAAATGTTGGTCTTTTATGCGATGGATGTACAGTAAGTAGCCGTGTTCCTTAATGAGCTTCATCGGAATAAAAACTTGTAAAAAAGAAACGAATGAATGATAAAATAAAGGTGAAATGAATAAATCCAGGAAGATATCTCACTCTCGATGGGCTCTCCATCCACCAGCCACTGAATGTTGGGCTTGGGGTTGCCGTTGGCTCGACATACCAGACGGCCGTTCTCCTCTGGGGCTAGCACCAAGTTGGTAGGTTTGTCTAACCAGTAAGGAGCCGCTGTGGAAAAGAAGCAGGCAGTTAACTTTACTAACATCGGCTTCTTCATCTGTTACAACAAAAGCTTCACCGTCATCATCCTCACCTTTAACCTGCACGTCGATGGCGTGGCGTATGCTGCCCAGGTCGTTGTTGGCCATGCACACATACTCGCCAGCATCCTCCTCGGACACGTTGCTGATTTCCAGAGTTTTGTTGTATTTATCAAACTTCACCTTTTCTACTGGAAGCTCTCCGCCCCTCTTGAACCACTTGATGGTGGGAGTAGGACTGCGGGGCAAACCGGTGGGAGGAGGCGTGTAAGACTTGGGAGGAAAAAGAATGTCTTCTCCAAAACATCACATTTAACAAGTTAAAAATCACATCTTTAAACCTGATTTTCTACTAAACTCCCAATGATTTGGTTACAGTAGCAGCCATTCAAAATTTCCCCACTTGATGGGCCCTTTGCCGGCCCTTTGCTGGCCCTTTGCTGGTCCTTTGCTGGTCCTTTGCTGGCCCTTTGCTGGTCCTTTGCTGGCCCTTTGCTGGCCCTTTGCTGGTCCTTTGCTGGCCCTTTGCTGGTCCTTTGCTGGTCCTTTGCTGGCCCTTTGCTGGTCCTTTGCTGGCCCTTTGCTGGCCCTTTGCTGGCCCTTTGCTGGCCCTTTGCTGGTCCTTTGCTGGTCCTTTGCTGGCCCTTTGCTGGTCCTTTGCTGGTCCT